TCATCATCATCATCATCATCATCATCACCACAAATTTGTTTTTACGATTGGCCTGCTGAGTGAAATGCTTCCGTGTTAACTGTATGCAGGAAAGGTAGCTTCGTAGCTCGGTTGGCTAGAGCGTTGGCCTTTCCGTTGTTGGCGTGGTTTCGAATCCGATGGACGTCGCGTAGTTTTTCATAATTGGGTCAAATTAATTATTCAAATCTGTCAAAACCCACTATTTAAAATAAAGGCCTTCGAAAAATCAAGTTGTAATCCTGAATTTTCGAACTGGTTGCATCAGTGCGTAGTCAGACGAAATGGAAAATGGAGGCTGGGATTATCGCACTAGAGCGTCTGGGAGCATAGACAGACCGCCAGGCGTCCATTTTAAAGGGGAAGAGAATCGCGTTACGGTGAATGCTGTAAGCGACGAGGGGGGTGTTAAAAGTCCAACTGTTTGAGGGTGGGTAGAATCCAGGTGGACGTCTAGAAGGTGGGTGGTGGGATCCTAATGGCTCTCAATGCCGTATGTCTTGCATGCTAGTGAGTCATTTCCGACGTGGAATTGGGTCATCCTTAGATGTAACCGCCTAGGTCCCGAGGATGGTGTTGCCTGCAGTACGGAGACCATGAACGCAGGGCCCATAATTTCAATTCCGTAATCGTTTCTGCCTAGAGTTTTTAATAAATTTTCATCTCACCTGCACATCCTTATGGCTAAAACACTGGAGTACTTTTTTAACCGGGAATCCTGCCTTTTGAAAGGACAGTCAGCCACTGTCCCAACTCTTGCCCGGAACTGCCGCCTAATGCTGTATGCAATATTTAAATTTCAGATCGCCTGTAAAGGGTATCAGCATGCTGGTCAAGTACCGTTTCCTGGAGACATCCCCTCGCCAGATTGCTCGGTTCCTGCTCACCCGACGCGGCCTAAGTCGTTCGGCAATTGGAGAGTACTTGGGCGAAATGAAGGATGACTTGGCCAAGGCTACAACCAGGTTAGTGCTAGCTGCATAGCTGTATGTATTCTTTTCTTGCCCTCCATCCGCTTTTATTCACTCGCTGTGGTCCGGAATAGTTTGCCTGCTTCGCGTATTTCAAGCCTGGATTACTGACAGTGAAATTTATGCAGAACAGTAAAGCTGTCATCATCGTCAGACGTTGTTTCATGCCTGTTTCCGCCCTCTCCGGCCAACGGATACCTGTAAACCCCCCGAAAATGGTGCATTTGCCGGTCGATTTGCATGCATTTCGGCCTAAACATTATCGGTGGTTGGCTGTACGACTAGCGTCTGTTGGTGTCAGAATTCGTTGCAACCGACGTTGTCTTTCCCTGTCATAGTCTCTACGGGACGTGTTTCACCGACAGAACAGGAAAGTATTAGGGCAGCCTAACAACAGCCTTCGCAAGCAGTAGTTTGCCAACCATAGCCGTGTCCACAATAGGCTATCGATCGGCCTATGCGCGATCTAACACTTCGAGCTCGACAATCAATTGATAATTTGAATTTCTAGCTACATTCACTCACTGAGCCAACAGCCAATGGGA